CTCACAAGAAGTTCACATGTGCTAAGATTTGGCTGCGCTACGCTCAGTTTGAGACACGACAGAAGAACCTGCAGGGAACCGGGAAGGTCATGGGCACAGCGATCAGTCTCTAAAAGAACAAACTGCTTGTAGTCTTTGTTTGTCTAGATAGCAATAAATCCCAAGAAACCCATAAAACCAACAGTGACGGAACCCTACTACCAAGTAAAGCCTCGTGTATCCTATGTAGGTGCACCACAGGGGTCCGTAGTTGTCCTAAAACCTTTTGGCTCACAGCAATCTAAAGCTTTTGGCTCACAGGAATTACTTTTGCATTCATGTAATTCATTTTTTGAAATTTTGGTCATGTTGAATATGAACAGCAGGCATCTAATGTTGTATATATGCCAGAAAATAAGGAAAAGCATCATAGATTCCCTTTAGCTATTCTCAAATATGACACTTTTGGAGGAGGTTCCTGTGGTTCCTATACTGGTGCCACCAGTGGCTACAGGCCGTTAGCGTTGATTCATGCCACCCTGAAGGCTTTTGAAAGACTGCTGCTGGATGCCACTGCTCAAGATTACATTGGACCCGTTCCAGTTCTCTGCTGGATGCAGGTTTGCTGTCAGCATCATGTTCTTGGATTTGCGATGCCGTTCAACCTGTCCTGCTGAAAAAGGAAGGCAACGTCCATGTAGGTTGATGCTCCTCTGGTGTCCTGGATCTTGGACTACCTTACTGATCCTTCTCACCACAAAGGAATCGTCTTGTCCATGTTTTGTCTTGACCCAGTACACCTAAGACTTGCCACTTCCAAAGTTTTCCAATGACTCTGCAGATGTGGGATGCATTAATTGGTGGTGTGGGATGTGTCGGTGTGCCAGAAGATGGGGGACAGTTTTTGGATTTGGAACCACCTGCAGCTCAACAGCAAAACTAAGGACAGATGCCTGAAAGCCTCAGTGAAAAGCAACTGGACATCTTTCTAGGTTCTTGAAGATGTTTCATCTCTCATCCACTATGTTCCACCTGATATTGATCTGAAGCTTCTCTTCACTGTCCTTAGTGTCAATAAACACCATGAAAAGACAAAAGTATACACTCTGGTAGTCTGTCTATGTGTCTCTATCCCCAGTGAACGGGTTTCCAATTGAAGATTTAAAACATATCACACAGGTGTAGTTTAATATTTCTGAAGGCTCTGGCGTTTCCTTGAACATTTGGGTCTCTGTAGGGTTTATCAACCACAGCTCAAACAATACAGACACAATCTGAGTAAAGAAAACATGATTAATTCCTGCAGGGAAATTGCGTTGTAACAGAAAAATGCAAAGAGGAGGACTTCTGAAGCTGGATGATCGCAAGGAAGAACTTTGTGTTTAGTCATCCTTAAATTAAATGTGCTCCTTTGGTGAGCACTGTGTCGGAGAGTCGGAGATGTTGGCCATGATGGAATACGTTTCTTCAGTTCCAAACTGAGGAAGCCTCTTGGGTGAGAGGTGAAACATCTCCAAGAACCAAAAAGAGAAGTCCAATTGCTTTTTACTGAGTTTGACTTTGTGGGTACCTTGACCTAGATGACGGAGCCTCTACAGAAGAGGAGAACGTTGTCCAAACTTCTCTCCATCATGACCATCTCCGAGCCTTTACTCAGTGTTCTGGCTCATCAGAGGAGCACATTTAACCAGGGACTAAGGATGACCGATGACCATTCAGCTATGTAATTCTTCCTTTTTATGCATTTTCCCTCCTTTTTACGGAGCATTTTTTGGATTCTGACCAGAACCACAAACGTGTGTTAGTCTAAAACAAAAGTTTAGTTCTGTTTGAGCAATGATTCATAAAACCTACAGAACCCAATTGTTTAAGGAACCTTCTAAGTCTTTCAAAAGTATGAAACTACACTTATGTGATACGCTTTTACGTCTTCAGTAGGAACCAGTTGGCTTTGGACCGAAGGATGTGGACAGGATCACACCAGAATGTAGATTTTGGTCTTTTCATGATTTTTATTTATTTTTTTGGCAACAATAAAGTTAAGGTCCACCTCAATATCAAGTGGGAATTCTTTTTTAAAAAACAGACAGAAAAGAAAGAAAAAACTAAAAATCATGGCTAGCCATTCTTAGCGGATAGAAGCAAGAAGCTACAGCTAGGAGATAGTTGAATTTTTGGAGCTTGTAGATGCAGTTATGCAAACCTTAATCTCAGACTTACAGCACATAGTCTGAGATATACAGCGTTACAAAGGCGGTTGTTCCAATCAAACATGACCACAATTGCCAATAACAAGGTAAATGAATGTAAAACTAAACCCTGTGAGCCAAAAGCTTCCGACTGCTCTGAATATTAGGTTTCCAGAGTTTTTTCTGGGTGAGTGAGAAGCAGCTTGGTGGAGTCCCCTCTCCTCACACTGAACAGTTGTCCTGCACGTTTTGAAAGAGAGTCCAATGGCGTCAGATCAGAGACATCTCTTCCTGCAGCCTCTACATCAGTGATCTTCACTGTTTTTTCCATGAGAGCCACACTGGCAGGACCAAGTCATCAGAAGGACCACTTTTATCACACAACACCAAAATGCACCCCGTGTGTTAAGCATGTCCTGAGCAATGCTAATTATAATCAGGATGAGTGGAAACCACCTATAATTTGACTTTCTTTATGTTATATCTGTAGTTTGCTGCTAGGTAAATGCTGAATTTTGCCTTCTAAATGATGCTTTGCTTGACCCTGGAGCGATTTGTTTGCGCATTAACTACAGAGGCTTGGGTCCATGAGGACAAATGTAAATTTATTTGTCCCCTTTTCCTGAAACTTCCTCTGCTCATCTCGTATTGCTTGTAACTTTCTTTATTTACTTAGAACACCTGCTGTCTGCCTGCTAGTCCCCTCTCCAGCGTATTGGTCTTGATTTTTGGTTGCTGCAGGTGCAAGTCTTCATTTTTCTTGTTTAAAATTCCACGTTGTTTCTGTCCATCTGGTTTGTGCCTCTGTTTGAGTAAAAATGAATCTATATTTGCTGTCTGTGCACTTCATGCTAGCTAGCATGAGATGCTGCAATACCCAAACTGTGGTGCTACTACGCAGGTTTCCCTGATTGGTGGCAATTTCAACCCCGTCTTTTAGTAAAAGACAAAATATTTGGTGAAGTTTTTATGTTTATTGGCTGCATTCTGGTATAATTATTAGATGCTATGCGCAGAACCGATCTCATTAAATGATCAGGGAGCTAGAGTTTTTAGTCTAGTTCTCAAATAGTGTGTGATTTATAACTTACCGTTTCTTTTTAGCTACCAGTCGAGCCACAGTCCTGTCTTGTGTGATACGGAAAACAGCAACAATAGTGCAGGAGTTGAATGGCACCTTACAGGTTAACTATTTACCAAGTTGAATTCTTTTGGAGGCAAACCATTTGAACTCGTAAAATGTAATGATAAAAACTGCCCCAAAAAAACAACCGGCGCTGGCCTCAGTTAATAGCTAATAGTTGCCTAAACATCCAACGCTAACGGATGACTGAATTGCTGCCATTTCCATTGAAGACAGAAATAATGTTACTTAGCGGGTTTACAGTTTAAGGTCGGAACCTACAAGCCGGCAGGAAGAGGTGGTGCTCACAAACGCAGGCTTCTGGAAGTTGGCCAATCAGAATAAAGCGGGCTTTTAGGGAGGGGGGCCTTAAAGAGCCCGGAGCTAACATTGCCCTTTTTCATGCAGAGGCCCAACTGAGGGGCTGCAGAACAGGCAGTATGGGATAAATCAGGATTTTCTGAACTGTGACTCATGCAGAGCTACTCTAGTGTCCCAGAATAAATACATAGAGATAGAAATGAGAACAATATGTCCCCTTTAAAGCTGCTAAATAAGTGTCTTTACATTAACAGTGACTTAAATAATCACCCAACTCTTCAGTTCCTTGGACCTTTAAGCATTTTAGCATCTTTTATGTGGTTGTATAGCCTGCTTTAATTTTACTGTTCTGGTTCAGTGTCACCGCTTTCAATGGCAGTTTTCAATTAAAGAGCTGATGAACATATTAGCAAATATTTTTCTGTATTTTGTGAAGTGAATGTTGGACGTGTAAATCAGACATTATATATTGTAGCCACTTCCCGTATTATTACTAAAATGATCATGTGTCGTGTGTTTTCACCTTGTACTGTCCCCAAGTGGCAAAATATGTCAGCAAATGCAGGTTTTAATATCACTTGATGTCATGTTAAGTGTGCTTTGGGGCATTGATTTTGCATTTATAGTCAATCAAAGGTGTCATTTTGGCACCTTTTTATTGTTGTGTATGTGTTTAGATCAAGATTGATGCAATAATGTTAGATTTTCATAACTGAATCCAGTTTCAGCAAGCCTGGTCTGGCCCTCAGAAATGATTTGATGTAATGGTAGTGAGTGGGATCAATAGAACAGAGTGGTAATGCTTCTGTCTCCCCCCTTTGCTCTCTCTCTCCTTTAGGTCCTGGTGGTGCAGCAATAGCTACCTCTGAACTGGATCCGCTTCCTGTCTCTGATTTATCAGCCGCCTTTGCCTCGCTCGCCCCTCTCTCCATCCGTCCGTCATCCCTTCATCCCCGTCTGCAGGTCCGTCCGTCCGTCCATGGACTGGCCGTGACCCCGGAGGGAGGGGGACAGAAACGAGGAAAGAGCGGAGTCGCAGAGGAGACGAAGGAAAAGAAAGCTGGATTCATTCAGACGTCACGCTTCTGAAGTGCCCCTGCTCGCCGTCCTTCATCCCCCTCACCCTCCTCCTCCTCCGCCTCCCTCTGTTATAGAGATTTAAAGGAGCGGTGGGAGGAAAAGGCCGAGATAGGTAGGAGAAAAACAATACACAACCAACGCCCTCTCATTGCCCCTATATTAAATTAAAGAGGGGGTTTGGGCGTATCGGTTACATTTTTTTAACTAAAAAATTTAGACAGAAAAACGAGACTGTGGAGCACATGAACAACCCTCCACCAAGCAAACGAAAAGGGACTTGAGCAGACTACGGAGGAAGAGGAGGACCACAACAGAGGAAAACATTTACTGATATGTCAACAACAGCCACGATGGGTGAAATGGCAAATAGCGCTGTGGAGTTTTATCCTAAAGGGACTCGAGGCGGGGGTGGAGGAGGAAGGGCAGATGGCAGCCATGCAGGGGGAGACTTTGGGGTCACGGTTATGGAGCTCAGGGAGCTGATGGAGCTCCGAGGAGCTGACGCCATACAGAAGGTCCAGGACAGCTATGGAGGCACAGACGGCCTCTGCCAGAGACTACAGTCCAGCGTCACTGACGGTGAGCAGAAATGTTTGAATGGGTAAAAAAAAAATGGAGGGATGGATGGATGAATAATGTAGGTGGCTTGATGAACGAATGGGTGAGAGAGCAGATGTATGAATAGACTGATGGAGGAACGGTTGGGTGGATGATTAGATACATGAATGGGTGAATAGATTGCTCGCCTGCTGGATGGATGGATGGATTTGTGGAGTGGGAGAATGGAGATGGGTTGCGGGGAGATGAATCGGTACGCCGAGATTAGCTGAATGAAGCCGCAGAAGGATGGATGAGATTGTACTCTTGGCCGGAGTCGCACATAAATACCTCCGCATGAGTGGTGCAAACTGTGTCCAAATCATCCCTCGGATTTCTGTGTCATCATCATTTGGCTCGAAACAAACGAAACAGATTACATGTGGTCACCAATTATTCCACAACGAACTGAAAACACACACTGAAACTGACCATTTTATTTCGTGCATGCATTATTAAAACAGCGAGTTTACCTTCACCGCAGTGCAAAATCTCAGACAGATGAATGCAGAATGAAATGAGAGCACTTCCATTAAATGGTAAAAACTCGGGGAGCGTAATCCTGGCTGTGGAAGGCAGTTTTTTTTTTTTTTGGTTGAGCTGGATGTGCAGAGAGAAAATGGGTGGATGGACTGATTGATGAATAGATGACGGGATTATAGGGGATGAATGGATGGAAAGCTGATAGAGTAAATCAATAAATGGATGAATGGAGTAAAATTGTGGGAGGATTAACTAGAATCTCTGACAGCACACCTGCAGGGCTGTTCAGCGGTCTGCCGCTTTTGCCGCATTCTGAATGACCCCCAAAGTCCATTATGTCTCTCTCAACTGTCAACAGTCAAAAACAGGCAGAACGCTTGTCTATTAATCTGACCAATATTTAAGCTACATACACTCAAGTGCAGTCGAATACGTCAGCAGTCCTGCAATAAATCCCCTCCTTCACGTACAGTTTTGTGCGCTCACTTTGGAGGCTTCTCTGTATAATTCTATATTAAGATTTCAACAAAAACCTGACATTACATAGAGTTTACTGCAGGACTCTTAGATTAGGCTTTGTACATGCACATATAAAAGCCACAAATTTTCACTTTTGAGATCCAGAAACCTTAAAAAATTACTTCAATGATTATCAGTTATTTGAATATTTGCCAATTTAATAGGTCAAGTGCTTATTTATTTATTTGTTTCACTGTAAAGGGAATTTCTTTCAGGTCTCAACTATTAAAACAAACAAGTTATTATCAGTGATTTCTGACCCAATCCAACATAGGTCTTAAAATTAATACTGAAATATTTGGCATTTTACCTTAAAAAATGATTTTAACTGTTATTGTCATTTGAGTAATTGGTTATTCGGCTAGTTATGTCTGTAGCAATGCTGTAAACTTTGCCGGTACCTTTTACTTGAAGATAGTCTCCGTCTGCCAAAGACCAAGGTGACCCTCTGAACTCCAAGCAGTTTCTGGCCATTTTTTTTTCCCTCTGGTCACATTTTTGCTCACTGTGGGCTCTTTTTTTTTTCACTTCTATGGAAACACAACAACCATGAAGAAGGAGAGAGAACTCAGAAATGCCTAATTTGCAGATTTACAAATGTAAAATGGCATAAATCATGAAAAAATAAAAAAAAAATTAAGTTTGTTTATTTCAAAAATTGAAAAAAGTTGATATAAACATGTTGCTGTTTTTACAGGTGTTACTAATACTGGCAAAAATGCTGATTCTACACAAGACAGATATTTAACTTCTTAAATTATTATTTTTTTCCATACACGTCTGTTCTGTGTAAACACAGCCTGCAGTTCAGCTGATAAGTCGGTGATTATTGGTCGTGTGACTGTCGGTATCAGCTGACTTACTAATGGCTTATTGGTTGTGCTAAGAAGTGCAATTTTTTAAATTTTATTTTTACTTTTTACAGAATCTGTTTAGTATGCGAGGTACATTTTTGGTGAAATTTTAAAGGAGACAAGTCTAATGTGTTAGCTTAGATTTGGTTATTTTTCCAGATAGAACCAGAAGTCGTACGTGATTAATTCAAAGATCGTCTAAAAGTTGAAAATCTGACTATTCTTTTTTCAGTTACTTGCTCTTGTAAATAGTTTAATCTAGGTGTTTAATAAAAAAAAGAAACATGCCGACAAGTTATGGGGTTCAGAGGGTGGATATAATTATACCAATCAAAGACTGATAGCGACTATTCGGGGTCGGATTTTGGTCGCCGTGTCTTCAGTGTGTCCATGTGCACACTTGTGTGTTCCAACAGGGGTGTGGTACCACACTACGCCCACTCCTTCAACTAGTTTGTAACCTAGCAACACAACAGCAGAGAGAAGTTGGCCTGGAAAGTCAGCAAGAGGGAGAAAGATGACTGAGAACTGTGAGATGGAGATGGAGATGGCGAGAGGAAGACGAGTGTGTGTGTTCGAGTGTAAGCAAAGACTATGAGGTGTGTGTGTGTGTGTGTGTGTGTGTGTGTGTGTGTGACGGTGAAAAAGTGAGAGGGCTGGTGGGTGTTGAGTTACAGTAAGTCTGTGTTGAGTGTTGCTAATTTGATACTATGAGCTGGTCAGGAATCAGTGCAGCAGGTCCCAACAACACACAAACACACAAACACACACACACACACACAGAATCATGTATCTGCAGATGTCCCTACAAAGAGCAGTTGGTAAACACAACGCACACAAACACACACACACACACACAGAATCATGTATCTGCAGATGTCCCTACAAAGAGCAGTTGGTAAACACAACGCACACAAACACACACACACACACACACAGTAAAGCTGCTCTCTACGCACTTCTTGGACCGCCTTTTCTTTTTTGCACTGTGCTGACTTTCACACATCACATATGGTGTCAAGCGACGTGACAAAACCAGCCAAAGTGCAAACACGGATAAAGAAAGTTGCCCCACCTTCTTAGAAAAAAAAATCCAAATCACTCAAAAAAAAAAAAAGCTGTCTGCTCGAGATATATTCTGTGCTCCGGATTCTGAGTCGTTTGACACGACGACAAAAGCTGCTGCCTCTGCTTTGTGTGATTACAATAAAAAAAAAGAGAAAAAAAAGAGCTGAAGTGCGAATTGTCAGATCAGACGGAGGAGAATATGGGCATGTACAGTGCTGCACCGAGGTAAACACACCGTGTATACATTATGATGCTGCACATCTTCAGTAATGTGATCCACAGAGCAGGGTGGGGGGGTTAAACCAATCACACACAAACAGATATGGATACCCTGCATTCACTGCAGTATGAGACCATTATATCCACACCGAGGAGACAGAAAAGAGGAGGAGGAGGAGGAGGAGGAGAAGAAGGAGAAAGAGGGAGTGAGAGGAAAGTGTGGGGGGTGGGTGGATGAGGGGTGAGGCAGGAAAGCTAGAACAGCTTGCCGCATTGTCAAGGACACATCAAGGGGAGATTGAGAGAGAAAAAGAGGAGGAGGAGGAGGATGAGAGAGGCTGTGGAAGAGGATGAAGAGGAAGGAAGGATGGAAGAGAGAGGGAGGGAGGGACTAATAAAAAGAGGATACAGCTCGCTACGATTACTCAGCATAAGGTCACCTGTTTTCCCTGTGCCTCGCCTTGGCCTGAACCCTGCTGTATTGCTACTACATGCGAGTCCCTGCAGCGAGCACATTGGACCAGGACGTCTCCAAACATGCAGGCGAAGGGACGCGAAGAAGAGAATCACCGATCTCGGCCAACCACGGCATACAAATTGCCGTTCCCCTTCCCCCGAGCAGCCAATCGAAAAATCAAAAATTAAATAAAAAATCTGCTCCAAGCCTACCACGCTGGAGGAGTGACATCACCTGTTGCTGGGCAGAAACCTGTTAGAGACAGGAAGCTCTGGACCTGATATCCTGGTCTCCATGGAAACTGAATCACTTAGGGGTGAGGTTGAAGGGGAAAGGAGGGTGAGGATGGACATATTGCACTGAGGATGGAGAGGAAGAGAAGGAAGAGTTTGGAGGGAAATCTGGAGTTGGCTGGAGTTTTAGGTTTTGCTCCTGTCATGCTTTCCCTTCATTTTGCTGCAGTCTAAAGTCCTGGACATGTAGAGAAACAGCACAACCATGAAGGAGAGAGGAGTCAAATATATGTTCTGTGCAGTAAGACAGTTATAATACAAGAAGAAAGAAAAAACAAAGTTGAATTTCTTTGATTTATCAGTAAAAACAATTAATTTTTGGCAAATCTTTAAATTACACATGTAAAATATAGTAATTTTAGGGTGCTGCGATAGCTCACCTGGTTGAGCTGGCGTCCCATGTACAGGGGCTGAAGTCCCCGACGCAGCGGTTGTGAGTTCGAGTCCCTCTCATGACCCTTTGCTGCAAGTCCTTCCCCCACTTTCCTGTCTCTCTCTTCACTGTTCTATCAAATAAAGACAAAAAGGCCAGAAAAATAACTTAAAAAAATATATATATATACATAGTAATTTTGATGAAATATGATGATTTTATTTTTAAACTTAATTACATTTTTTAAAAACACGTGTTTCCATACTTACACGGCCTGCAGTTCAGCAGAAAAGTTCCTGAATTTGCGTCTCACGACTATTGTTGAGTCACAAATGGCTTTTCTGTATCACTGAGAAACACTGAATTTTCACTTCTTTACTGAATCTACTTAGAGAAAATGTTTTATTTTTTTAAAATGAGACGTGGAATAAAATCCTTTTGGTGAAATATCACAGTTTAAAGCTTAGATTTTGGTTACGTTTTACAACTGAATGGCAGGTCACGTGTCAGTAGTTCAAGGATTGTTCATTTCTTTTAGTGATTTTGGGAATTTCTTAAAGAAAGCAAAAAGATATTTGGGATTCAGAGGGTCTACTGGACTGAGGAAGTGTTTGCTTTTTCTGGTGGGTGATTGGTGTTGTGTTTGTGTTGCAGTGAGTGTCTGCTGTTAGGAGCTGCACTGAGTTTTATCTGCCTCCTGATGCCTTGAAGTGTACCTGGAGGTCTTTAAATGATGACTGATTCACAGAAATCTCCCAGAAATTAAGTAAACCTACAGACGGTTATTAAAAACAGCACCGAAATGACTCACGCTGTGAATGTGTCACCGAGTGCACAGATGTGTTTTGTTTCGCTCATGCCATGTGAATTTTATTTTCTGTTATTTCTCTATGAATGCATTTTACAGCAACACATGTGCTAATATTCCAACCTTTCTTCCCTACCGTCTTTCTCTCCATCTCCCAGGCCTCAGTGGCGACCCGACGGACCTGGAGCATCGAGGCCAAGCGTTCGGTCAAAACTTCATCCCCCCGAAGAAGCCCAAGACTTTCCTGGAGCTCGTGTGGGAGGCCTTGCAGGACGTCACGCTCATCATCTTGGAGGCCGCCGCCATCATCTCTCTCGGCCTCTCTTTCTACCAGCCTCCTGGAAAGGAAACTGAATGTGAGGACGTGGGCAGAGGGTGGCGGGGCTCGAAGGTTTGGGAGGGGTGTGAGAAGTCAGGAAGCAGGATCAGATGTTGTAGGAGCAAAACTGGATGTGGAAAAACAGAAAATGAGAAGTGAAGAAGATTAATCATCATCAGCATGCATTATCATCCTGTCCTGGTTAAGTAAGACAGCACGAATGAGATAGAGAGGAAGCTAGGGTTATAGGAAGAGATAAAATGAAGAAATGTAGGTCTAAGTAAAAGAGGAAACAAACCTACATTGTGCTCAGCATTGTGGCCTGAGCTGCTTGTTTGATTTCCCAGCAGGGTAATCAAACAAAAGACACCATAAGATGCCATTAAAAAAAGCCAGTAAGGGGACCTTAAGTCAAGATAATTTGGTCAAACTAGAGAACTGCAGAATTAGATGCTTTAAAAAAAATATACAGGATCAGCAAATGGTTTGTTTTTGAAAGAATTTGTAAATGAGACACTTAGAATACAGTGATTTTGATATTTAGGCATAGATCTGGTTACGTTTTCAGATGAATATACGCCTCACAGATGAGCAGTTCAAGGACCGCTGGAAGGTTAAAAATCTGACAGTTTCTTGTATTTTAAAAGTTTCTCGCTGTGATAAATGACACCATGATGGCAAATTAAATTTATTAGCAAAAACCTAGTGTATTTAGTTAACAAGGGGGTTTTACTGCTACTAAATTGGAACTACATTTGGCAAAGTTGGGTTAATGGTAAACGCTACAGCACATTGTAACATGAGTAAAAAAGGCTTTTAAAGTCAACAATCTGCTACACACAGTATGTGAAGTTTGCTAATGTTAGCTAACATTATCCACAATAGTCATGTTCCAACTGCACAAAGACAAATAAGTCTCTCCAAAACTGTTCAAGGCATCATAAAAGGGCACTTTTTGCAAAAAGCAGATCAAGATGGAGAAATGTAGCACCAGCACTTCCAGCACTTCCAGCACTTGCAGCACTTCCAGCACTTCCAGCACTGCTTGCAACAATGACCGGTTTTAAGATTCATACTGCCACCTACCATACATGTAGAACAGGACACAGCATCTGATCGGCCATATTGTGCGCTTAGATTCCACCATCATCTTTGCAAATCACTTAACCTTTTTACTTTCACCACACACTGCAGCCGCCCTCACAAAGTACTGTTGCACCTTAAGCTTTGACTGTCTGGCTCGTATATCTCTCGCTGTCTGCAGTGTCAAATGAGCCATCATCTGGCTCCACGCTCTCAGCGGCTCGAGCTTGTGAGACGCAGTGACGTATTTCCCGCCGTGCAGCGGATTGTGAGTTAAAACGGCGGGAAAACAGGCCGGGTTGCTTACTGCAAAATGAGATTTAGCAAGACATCGTGGTGCCATGTATTGGGACATACTAAAACTTTTTCTGCAAGATATGGTAGCGTGGGCATTGGATTTTTATCTTCTGGAGTCCAACAGGAACAATCTCATTAACTGCAGTAGTTTTGAATTAGTTTATTATATGTAACGAATCACAAGCATTAAGCCTGAAGCAGCGAAAATCAAATGTTGGTTTGCTGCTAGTTAACTGTAGCTCCATTTGCACATACTGAGGTCATGTAAAAATGCTAATACGTAGCATAACAGTAAGTAAAGAAAAGCTAAAATTAACAAAGTGATTTAAAAAGACAATATCCTCAGCAACCTGATTCAATAATGTCAGTTACATCTATTTAAAGTTTGATAATAAAAAATAGCAGCAAAATCACAGCCTGTATTGAACAAAACAAAAAGTTTTATTTCTTATTAATTAGGAATATGTCATGGCTTCTTTTTTAAAGCTATACAGCCTCACTTCAAATATGTTTTCTTTGGTAAGTCAAGTGTAGAAAGTGCAGCGAAAAGAAGGCCGAGGTTGTAGTTACTGTGCTTTGAAGCATTTAAAAAAATAAATAAATCAAACCACAATGCAGAGAGCCCAGAAAGAGAAGTTTTACTGATGCTGAAGATGGCCTGACATTGTTATTCTGATGCTGAATTCACATTGAACTCTGATTCAGATAAAGTCTGTACTGACATCAGAAAATCCTCATGTGAGAGTTTTATCTTAGAACGCAGAGTTTATTGTTGACGGCGTTAATTAGGCCACATACCATACTGTTTACTTTCTTGTTGTTTGCACAAATTAGAAATAACTTCCATATAATTATCTAATCAGCTTTCTTGGTTTCGTGGGTAAAGTAGGAAAAATGTAAGCACACAAATACAACAGACAGTAGCTGAAGTGAAAGAAAGAGAAAGGGTTCCTCCTCTGTTACCATTAGCTTTCTGGGCCTGTTTATCACAATAAGCAGCCGTGATAGGGAGGAAGATGACAATTATATGACGATAAACTCTTGTCAAAGGCAGGCTCTACTGTTTTAAACCTAAACCATGTTGTTTCTTTGTTTTTTAAAACTAAATGTCTTACTGTAACACACCAGATGGAATCAGAAAGTTTTGATATCCATCATCTTATTGGTGGAAAATGAACCTTTTACTTACATTTGTCCCTATAAAGGTCCCATATTGATCCACTTTTCAGTAAATTAATGAAAGTTTTATATGTGACCAGAAAGTGTCTTTGACTTTTCAGCTCACAATACAGCAAAGATGGTTCACTTCACCATGACTGTATAATCCTGGTTTTAGTCCTGTTCTGAACAGGTTGTCTCAGTGTCTGTAGCTTTAAATGTCAAGCGTCTGCCGTCCCCACCCTCTTCAGGACTTTTTGTCACTTCTAACTGTCTGTCCAAGCAATCATATTACATGGAAGTATCGCAGATTTCACAGCACAGCAAAGTTGTCAGACGATACGGTTATAAAATCAGTGGTGCAGAGCAGCAGCTTGGAAATGGCTCTGCAGTAACTGCTGGTTCACATGGTGTCTAAATGGGCCGCATTTCATTCACTTCTTCATATTTTTTCTATTGTCTGACAGCAGAAACAGAAAAATATGTAAATGAGAACATCTTTATTGGGAAGTGGGCTGCATTAAAATGTAGTTTTTGTAAGCACAGAGAGCAGAAGAAGAGATAACAAATGTACGGTGACTGAGTTTAGGTTATACAACATGCAAACACAGTATCCCACCCAGTCCTTATTCATTGGTTTCAAATTAAAGTTCTCATCATCTCTGAACGTCCCTCAGCTTTATAGTTTCCATAGAGCTCTGACCTGTGCCTATACCATCAAAGCTAATGGCAAAGTTAGCCACATTAGCTGCACAACATGCTAACACTAACACACTTCTATTGTTTTGTTTTGTTTTTTTAAAGTTATTTTTTGGCCTTTTTGCCTTTATTATATAGGACAGTCAAGAGAGAAACAGAAAAATGGGGGAGAATAATTAGGAAAGGAATTGCAGCAAAGGGCAATGAGCGGCATTCAAACCCATGGCTGCTGCGTTGGGGACTATAGCCCCTGTACATGGGTCACCAGCTCAACCAGTTGAGCTATGGTGGCAGCCCAGGATTTTTCTATTGTTGTGGTGACATTGCAATTAACATAAAAGTATCCACAGGGTGTTCAGTTCCTCAGATGCTAGGAGTGCATCAAGACTGTTGGGTTCACTCTTACAGCCAACAGCAGAACAGTTGGTGTGCTTTACTTGAGACATTTTAAAGTTAGCAGAAGCAGCTCTAGGAAGTAAATAAACCTGATGGACTGTAAGGCAGCTGCTCATCCTGTATGGCTCACCAGAGCTGGATGACTATTGGTTCGTTAGCGGGAACGTAGCAGCTCAATACATTTCTTACTGGTATGGGAGGATCTGGATGTCAGGGGGCAAAATAAACGTCCTCACACCTTAATGGTCTTTAGTTTACACCTCTAAGTTTATGACAATCACAAAAAAATGCAATAAAAATGTAATTTCACCATTTGGGACCTTCTTACATTTAGTAACTCATAGAAAACCAGCTGGTACGTGAAGGTTTGATTAATAAAGTCTCTAACTAAACATCCCTCCCTTCCCTTTTCTCCAGCTTGCGGGAACGTGTCGGCAGGCGCAGAGGACGAAGGCGAGGCCGACGCCGGCTGGATCGAGGGTGCGGCCATCTTGCTCTCCGTTGTGTGCGTCGTCCTCGTGACGGCGTTTAATGACTGGTCCAAAGAGAAGCAGTTCCGCGGCCTGCAGAGTCGGATCGAGCAGGAACAGAAGTTCACCGTCGTGCGGAAAGGAAACGTCATCCAGATTCCTGTGGCTGACATGGTGGTGGGGGACTTGGCTCAGGTCAAATACGGTAAGGAAACCTTCACCGACTGTTATTATGTGAAAAAACAGCAACTTTCCCTGTAAACTTTTATTTTCTGTTAATTAAAGCATTTTAAAATTTTGTAATCATCTGTGCACTTTAGAAGATCTATATATAAATGGCACAGTTTTTCTGACCGTCAGTGAGAAACACATACTCATGAGTCATATCTTTGCATAAGCATTTCAACAAGTGTCTCCCATAGAAACTTTAGAATAAAATTAAAGTAAACCAAGTGTCTTCCTTTGACACCCATGTAGGCGAATACCATTGACTGCTGTTCGCCTACATGTGTGGGACAAAATGATCAAATCACGATTCCTGTCTGGTCTTTTTCTGGCTCTTGTCACTGCCTCAAAAACCCTTTAACAAAACCGCAATATATTACATGTTTTAAAGGGAATGCTGATTATTAAGCTAGAGTTAGCAGACAGTTAGCTTAGCTTAGCATAAAGATGGGAAACTGTTAAAACAGCTTGCCATATTTTCCCATCTTTATGCTAAGCTAGCCTAATTGTCTGCTGACTCTAGCTCAATGTTCTGTATATAGACATGGGAGTAGCATCAACCTTTTTATCCATCTCTCAGGAATAAAGGGAATAAGATTATTTCCCAAAATGTCAAAGTATTCTTTTTAAAACATGTACTAAGTTGGATATATTGCAGTTTTGTTAAAGGTTTTGGAAGCACTGACAAGAGCCAGAAAAAAAAAAACAGACAGGAATCGTGATTATCTGTAATTTTAATTCAAGATATTAACAACATTATTTTAAATTGTCATTGTTGCACTGTGACTAGTCACAATTTTTATGCCAGCTCTGGGAGTCAAAATGACAGTTTAAGATCTCTGTAATTCTGTTTGGAGTCAAAATATTTCAAATGTCATTATGGCCAGTTTGAACTGTTTGAACGGTGTTAACAGAAGTAATGACATCTGCTGTGGTGGATAAACTTGTTAGAAAAATGTCTTGAAATAGAAAGACTTCATGAGCTAAGGGTTTGTGGAGAATGAGAGCTTTGTTAATCAGATACTTGTAGTTGAACTGTATTAGAACTCTGGCCTCAGGCTGCGCTGACATGGTGGTAAAACAGCTGGTCATGTGCCATGACAGTTGCATCATCTGAACAGCAAACTGCATCCTACTTGTAACCTCTCATGTAGCTATAGATATCTACAGTCTCATTTCGCAGAGTCAAAACTGCAGTTCAAGA